CAGAATCTTAAGGCAACCCCCAGATGTCAGGTGGTCACATGAACAAATTGTTAAATAATGTCTTTGCGCTTGCAATTTTGGGCTGGCCTACAAGCCACGCTATGGCTCTACACCTCCCCCTTTTAGAATGTATACATTCTTCCCAATGTGATATCTATTATACATGGTAGAAGTCATGAACCGCCGCACTTAGTGTCGGAATTCCTCCTACATCTGTATTTGTGCAGATGATTTATACTAGAGTTTAGTTCAATTATTACATAAGACTAATGAAAGAGCTTGACATACTATTGAGAAATAATGTTAAAATTTGGGGCAGCCTAATCATAAACAAGACAAAATATTACTGTATGATAGGACATATATTGTGTCTAAAGAACTTGCATGTGATATGCCCGCTTTGTTGGGCACTATCGTTTTTTAAACAAAGATCACGCAAAATAAAATGTTGGTAGGGAGCCGCACAAAGAGAAGAATGAGAACTAGGTCATCGCAAAGGCGGGTACGAACTGCAAATGTGGGGACATTTGTATAACTCCTTATGATATAACTACTTGAAAAATTTTTATTCACGTTGTTTACATGGAAATTGACTTGTTCTCCATTACTACCCGATTTTGAATTATTAGTGGGGAGCATTGATACACTTCGGCTGGTTCTACTTTGCTCTTTAATACTTCGAAACTTGTTTGGTATAACTTGCCTCAGCCCTTTTGTAGAATTATTATTCCAATCGGATGGACTTTTTAGCTTACTCGATCTAGAATATCCTCCACTATTCAAAAGGAAGTCAAGTCATTGTCAACAGCCCCACGAACTCGTCGCAAAGGCAAACTTCGATCCTCGTTGCAGAGTGTTGTGCCTACCAACAGAGTGGTAACTTCTGTCCCAGTTGTTCATTTAGGTTATTATTAAGTAAACATTTATTCAATGTTCTATCCTTTCTGTTCCTAAGCTGTTCTCGGTTTGATATCGAGTTGCATTAACTGCTCACAAAATATTCAACCTTTTTATCGTAATTGTTTTCTTAGTAAAGCTATTTTTGGGCTACTTTGGCTTTTTCCCTTTATGTAGTTACGTTCCTCAAACAGGAATGCACCGATGCCACAATTTGAAAAGGCACAGTCGCCTGTAAACCCAGGGACTCATCGGGAATCGGTAATAACAATGTATTTGACGCTGACTCGCCTTGAGTGGACAGATTACTTTCATTTTGCACCTCTTTGTTTTAGTCGAGATCTTTTGATGGTATTGCGGGTAATGGGAATTCCGGAGGCCAGATTCACAATGAACTGACAGATGCTCCAAAATTAGTAGGTCTAAAACTGCCGTGTTTAGATCTTCCTCTTCTTCTGTAGCTCACAGCATCAAAAGCAAGGTGTCGAAAGGCGACCATGACACGCATTGAGAAGTCAAAGGATCCCTATGAATTGAGTGCAGATGAAAATGAAGCACCTGCTGCTGCATTTGGCAGCTCATTGGCTTCCTCCGCTACCACTGTATCTATTGGCAAAAAGCGTAAATTCTTCTCAACTCAACGCGAGAGTTCTTCCAAACGCACTGCCCTCATCGGATTTGAACTTCTGCGTCAGAAACTTGCTGTCAAGGTGGGATACCCTTGTCGTGTAACAGGACCACTGTTTCACTTGATGGGAAAAAAAGAAGCCTTTACTTTGTGCTAGTCGGGAGGTCGTCGTCGAGCTCTTTCGGCGGCCAATCGAATATCCTCGTCCCGTGCACCACCTATGAGTGAGAGTGAACGAGCGCGGATCGCTGCGACCACCATTTGGCTGCCAATTCCAAATCGGCAGTATGCGTCGACGCCCAATAGACAACACCCCCATCGGTTGCAGCCGTCACCTCTTCCGCTTCCTTCACCAGACAGGAGGAGTGAAATCCTCACTGGCAATCCTGCTGTCCGACTATCCAGCCTCTCAGCTTTAGCCTCTCCACTCGACTCCCGGACAGTACAAGCGGATATTGCTCCTTTGGAGAGTACCGCAGGTTGGTTTTAAATCGCATCGATTGTTATGAAATTTTGGCTTTAATACTTTCATTATTTCGATATTAGTTGGAATCTTTCCTGACTTATCTTTAAACATGGTGATCTGGGCAAAAAGGAGTGGATAGATATCGAATTTCCGAAGAAAAATCTGTGAAATTAGGTTATTGTGTGGTTTAAAACTATTCTCAAAAATCGGCTGCTTATTTCATTACTAATATCCTGCTTCTGTAAAGATCATTGCTAGATTATCTTATTTTCCCCAAATAATATCAGTTCCTCAGCCGGCTTGACGAAAACATCTTGATGGAGAAGTGTGAACAGTTTATTGCGATCGTTTTACTATACTCCAAAATTGTCAATTGTCTGTTGCCTACGTAGTTGGTTTTTTATTATTTTGGGTCAAATCGTTATGATAACGAAGGTGACTGCATGTCATGACTTCCGTTCCTCCCGTCTTATAGTTTCCATTAGCTTTAGCCCTCTGATTGACACTTGGCGCAACTTCGGCTTGAACAATCACGGTCATTTTTTTCTTAATTTGAAACCTAATTCCGTTTGGGATCAACTTCTTTACTCTGCCTTGACCTATCATCTTTCTGAAGTCAATTTCCATCGCAAAATCTCCTGGTTTCTATGTCGGTGGTTGCACTTCTTACTTGATTTGAAATACTTCAGCAAGTAGAGTAAATGCATATCCGAAAGTGATTGGGATGTGATATTCTTAGTTTTGAGCTGGACGAATATTCACGCTCTTTCACAAGAGGTGACGACTTCCACTTACTGGTTTCCAACGCGTGTCGGTGACAGTGCTTCTCCAAATCTGGTGTGTGCTTGCATCGGTCAGTGTCATTTGTGATTCATTTTGAACGTTATCAGTTTTCTATAAGTTACATTTGCGCTCTATAATGCTAACGTCGAGTGTAGCAGTGGTCGAAAACCTTTTTCCTCATCAGTAGCACACAATTTCCCATCCCCAGTACGGTATGTCAGTTATGGATAGACCTTGGAACTCAGTGAGATTTCTCTTTCCTCCCATATCTCGCATTCAGACCTACTCCATATCTTTTATGCTCTATTTAGTGATGCCTCGAGAAGGCAGTACTCATGATGCACTACCACTAGCAGATATATCAAACATTGCTCCTCGGCCGCCATCTCTTTCGTTCGATCGGGTAGGTGATAGGGCCTATGGCGAGACGCGTCGCATTTCCTTCGCCCAACCACTCTCTCCAATGCCCAAACGCTCGAGCGGTTCGCGGGGTAAGCTCTCTAAGCGATCTTTTTTACTCGGAGTCACTTTTATTGTCACTTAGTCCAGGTGGTCGCAGGCGGTACTCTTTTTGTACTGCCAAGTTATCGTTATTTTCCATTTGATGAGTTGCGAATTTGCCACTTTCCATGGTAACCTTACTTTGCACCACCATTCCAACAGACACTTTGATACTGTGTAGCTGTTGTTTAATCCATGCCCACTTTGTTTCAAGCAGGTTCCAGCAATCTTTCTACCTCTGGATCAAAGGGACCTTCACGTCACTCCCATAACGAAGATGCCTCGGTCAGTTTCTACGTTACTTAGCATTTCATTGAATACTTTTCTTATTAGTTCATTTGTCAACGACCCAGTACCTAACCGGGTCCTGTAGTGATTATAGGGTGCATCTGAGGTCTCCAAATAACCTATAGGGAGGGTAGGGAAGGGGTACTGGTCAATATTGTCCTCCGCGTTGCTGGTGTGGACGGGTTTAGGCAGATGCTGGAGTGTGATTTCGACCGTATGGATATGGGATAGAGCAACATGTGCACCTATTCTCTTGAAGTTACCACGTTTACACTGCACCTATTGTCTCGATCACTGTGACGGGATTCGTTGCTGATGCTCACCCTTCGTGCGTACAGATCGCATAGAAAGCATTGAGGTGTTCACGTTGGTCTCCTAGACAAAGGTAAACTGGAGAGACTGAAGAGGAAGGGAGAGAATGCAGTAATTCCAAGTTGTTCTGAATTAGAACTTATCACCCATCTCTACCCTTTTTTGTTGACAGAACTACGAGGAGTGGCTGGAGAAGTTCAACTTCCAATTGAAGCCCTACGAGGATTTCGACCTAACAGTCGATTAAACACGTTTGCTGCATCCGCAATTGGCTTGCATTTACTCCAAACACAATCTATTTTTTTAATAGATAAGTCACTTTTTAGGGTATTAGGGTTTTCCTCACTCCCTCTTTTTTAACTTACTGGATATTTACCCAACCATCTAAGAATGGTACCATTGCTACTCCTGCTGATGGTCGGTAATGTTACATTCTGTCATTCCTTTTTTAAAATGGACGAGTACGTAATCATCATCGCCTACTTGTTTTTCCACAAGTAACAAACTAATTTAGAATATAGAAATTCAACTTCTACAAGGAGCTCATTCCGAGTGGAAATAGCGGTTAGGTGGGTCATTAAATGCAGGCGTCGCACTCATCGCAAAAAGGGGACAAAACCAGAAGCAAATAGAGGAGCTTTTTTCTTGGAATAAATAAGTAGAGATGAAAGGACAAGTTAAAACAACTGGAAGGAAAGGGTTACCGTGGTCAATAATAATACAAAAGAAATACTGTTCTAAGAAATTGAAAGCGAGTACCAAGGCTTCATTCTCTAGGACTCGTTTATCTTCAGGCCTCGCAGTTGGGAGGACCGACGTTGCTAAAAGGTTAAGACTAGTGTTTTATTTGGGAAACTACTGCTGAGGAGTATTTACGTGATCATGTAAATGTACAGTTTCAAGTTCCTCCTTGGTGATGTCCTCGAGTTTGCGAATATCACGCATTGTCATGCCGTACCATTCGTCGGTCCAACAGAAGAGCTGGCGATGAAGGATTGTAAAGACACGTTCTTCTTGCTATGCAGAAGGCAAGGAGACAATTAAAACAAAAAAGTCACGAAAAAAGAAAACACTAGCAGCCCGATACAATATGAGTTTCAAAAAGTCGGATATCAAATCACACAGATGTTCAAAACTATGGCATGCACCGCGAAAGCACCTGATGGATGACGTTTAAGGAGCAACTGTGCCAATCTCGAACAGCATGATAGTCGCTCGAGTTGAATTAAAGAATGGGTCCTTCTGGCAAAAACGATGTTCCAGAATTACTATGAGCAAAC